GGGCACACACCCCTCTTCCCACATACTGATCCATTTCTACTGGGTTGCAGGTGGTTTACGGCAGCAGCAATAAGGACCGCGACATACCTCGACCTTCGGACCTTCGCATGGGTTCTTCCCCCGCCGCACAAAACGAAGGTCTCTTGCGCCCTTCTCCTCCAAAACCCCAGGCTGTCCAAACAGCAGCGAAGGGTGCTGGTTTGGATCAGGTAAGCCTTCATTCCGGGCCGGTTTGATTTTCGAGAATCCGGAAGCGCGCGCCAATGCGTTGGACCCCGGCCAAGGTGTGGTTGTCAAGACCGTTTTGGGATCCCATGTTGGTAAGTGAATTCACCACCCATTTTAGGCTTCCTACTTTAGTGGATTGAATCGGATGTTCACTGGGGCAATCCGGGCTTTGGATTTTGATGGCCATTTTTTGTCCAGGTGTCCTCCGTGCCCCGGGCCCCAGTGGATTCTTTTCGGTATCAGGGGGCTCGATGGTTTGGGTAGTTGTGAAAAGGAAACCCCCAGTTGCCCAGTGGGTGGCCTCCTTTTTCGCATTTTCCCAGTTTTTTTGGGGGGAAGGGTGTCCCTATAAAGCCAACCAACCAAGCAGGCGCCCCATTTTTTCCCCATGGCCACTCGGCATCTGAGAACCTCCAAAGAAAAGAAAACAGAGCGGCACTGGTGTGGGCCTTGTTTTGGCTATCCATCTCAGGAGTTTGTCCACGTCCGTACACCCGTTGTTTGGCCGCTCCAAAGCTGGCGCATGTTGACGGATAGGGAGTCCAAAGCGTGCGGGGTTTCCGGCATGGCCGGTCTTTGAGCGAATCCGTTCGAAGTGGTGGCGTTTCAAGACAGGTTAGAGGAGGTGGGTGCTGGTTGAAAGTGCAAAATCAGCCGTAAGCAGACTCGAGCACTCACAGATGAAGCCAAAGTGCTCTGAGAGCAACTCTCCATAAAACCCGCAGCTTAGGCCTTTCGGGAGACGAGGGACCCAGTTTGCGGGGCGTCTGGTGCCCTTGAAGACGGCGGGTTCCGGTTCGATCAACATATGGCATGGGGGACTCAGCCCAGCAAGTACTTTTTCACCGTTGTTTTCGACATTTTGGGGTCCAAAGAGTTGTCCAAGCGAGCTTTGAAACTTAACTGTTCGATGCTTGAACTGTTGTTGTGGTCTTTGTTTCGTTGCGAACTAAAATCGCAAAATGGCTGTGGGTCAAAAATAGGAACCCCAAATGGAACCCTGGTAAGTGGAAACATGGACCAAAACTTGCGGTGCGATTCTTGGTGGTTCAATATTGACCCATACTGAAATGAAGCTTCCCCAACCCTGCAACCTGAATCGGGAGGAGGCGGCGCGTTTCCTTTTTGCCCGTCAGCGCCAGGACTTCGTGCATGAGCAGCCGACCTTGAAGGAGCTGCGGTCGAACGGCACGCTGGTCCTCACGGAAATGCCGCCGAGCGGCTGCAAGGTGTCCTTGTCCTTTTTAGCAGGGCTCCTTAAAAGATAAATGGCAGTGGGTCAAATGTTGTACCCACTATGCGGTCCGATTCCTGGTGGCTTAATTTTGATCCACACCCACATTTTGCAACCACTTGAAACATGGCTTTTAACCCACCAAGATAAGGGGAAACCACCATTTACAAGGTAATGTTCAGGTGTATAATGTAAGGATCCCTGTATTTAGCTTAGTTTGGTCAAGAATAGATGGGTTCCACTGGTTTAGATAGGTGTTCTCCCATTTACCAGGGCCATCCATGTTTCCGAAAGGCTACCTATGGCTGCAAGGCTTCGTTGAATGCCCACCACCCGCGGAATATACGAGCAAACGGGGGCGCTGGCGAAGCAAACGGCAACCCAGAATCCCCCCCTAGAAGACTTGAAGAAATGGGACTGGAGGGGTGTGCAATATGGCTGTAGACGAATTTGGCTTTAGGACAACTTCTGTGATACAATGGATCCCTTTGAAGTGTATACAGTAGTCAAGGAGATGGCCTATTTTGCACCGCAGCTAGGTCCCCAGTCGTGCCCTTTCTCACCCCTTTTTTGGTTGGGAGGGTTCCCCTACTAAAATAGACTACTTGGCACCGCAGGGCAGATTTTGAACCCCCTGTACTGCGATTGGGTTTGATCTTCAGACTTGAAAAATTAGATTCTCCTCGGATTTCCTTTTAGCCAGCAAAAAGTTAAATTTCTTCGCTGGAAAACATCTCCAGCACCCGAGTAACCTGGTAGCTGCCAAAACGAGGTCGGCCTTTTTCAAGCAGAGCATGACGGTGGATGCCTACTCGCTCATGCTGGAGCTGCCGGACTTCTGGGAGCTCCTCCTGACTCCGAAGGCGGGCTGGACTTCGAACCGGTGGCTTCGAAGAGGAGCTCCGAAAACTGGGCGGTTCCCCGCCACCAGACCCTTTGACTTTAAGCTTTTTAGCGTAAAAACTGGGCGGTTCCTAGCCAGACCCTGGGACTTTAAGGCTTTTTAGCGCTTAGATCCCGCGAAGGTGGATAAATAGGACATATCCCGCTAAAAGTTTGACTTTCGGCAAGAGATCGGGTCGAGCCACCAAGCAGAAACCCAGAAACCAAGTACCAACCAGAAGGGTGTTTGGGTTTCGCCGGAGAGTTTAGACAAGCCACACCCAACTTAAAGCAAGCCAAACGAACCCTTGAAAGGGAACTTGAAACGCTTGGCGCCCATGTTCCTCTTAAAAGGGGAGGGGGGCTGCGGGGAACCGGACAAAAGGGGGGGGCCTGTCTGAGGGACCTGGGCTGAGATGGACCTCACGCCTGGACTGGGCAGGGTTGCTTTTCTTGGGAGAATAGGAACTTAGTAGGTGGTTAGTAAGCCCACCTACGTCCCCCAGTGCCTTTTCTCACTGTTGTCTTTTTTTGGGGAGGGTTCCGAACCCTACTAAAATAGACTACAGAGAAAGAAAGTTGGTTCCCTTATTCTAACCTCCCTACTGGAGGACCAAGCCACTGAACGGAGACAAAAGCTCACCATGGCCTTTGTGGGTTATCTCTCACCAGGCTTACGATCCACTTGCCTGACGCACCGAATCAGTTGTCCCGTTACATACGCCCGGCGAAGAAACTTTCTCCAGGTGCTGCTGGTGCAGACGGACGCGTGGATTTGCAACGGAGCTCGGGAGCTTCAGAAGCAATTGGTGAGACCGTGGTTTCCAAACCTTCCGGGTGTTTTTGGCGGGTACCATCTTCTAGGCTAATATGAAAGCTCCCAGAACCCCTTTGAAAGACTTGGTTCCATTTACAGAGGCCTTCTGGGAGCTTCCATGTTAGTCTGGGGGAGTGTAATGTTGAGTTCGGATGAATAAACCGGTCCGTCCTGCTGTGGCCGGTTGCGAAATCCATTTCGCCACCAAAGAATCCCTGACAGCAACAATACTTTTCGGTTTGCAAGCGCTGCGAAATGGATTTCGTCCATCCACACTATTAATAGGGGGGTGTTGCCCTACAATGCCCTATAGTGATGGAACCTAAACCAAGGGCACAGCAGAAAGGGAGCCAATGCCTCGGCCTGGTAGGGAGCTACCAGGAGTTCCGGTTAGGCATGGCGGCATGTTTCTGTGAACGCCATGACGTACAGCAGTTGGCAACTCAGCTGATCAGATTCTTTATTGCCGCTTGATAACGGATCTTTGGCCTTTAACTTTTTGGATGAAACAGGTCGGATTTTCTATTGGACCCACAAGTTGATTTTTTTTGTTGCAGAGGGGTCGTTGCAGCAACCAAGTTGTGTCCACCATTTTTAGTGGCCCCCAAAAGCTGATCACCGATTATTTCTGGGGGTGGGGGGAAGATTGCAAGAATGAACCACCCCTTGGTTTGACTGGGTGATCACATGGAAGACATGAGCCTTGGATTCTTTGTTTTCTTGCCACGGAGCCTGTGAGGCAATCGGCAGGCAACCCCTCCCTCCCCCCCCCGCCTCGCGCAAGTAGAAGCTGGGTGGTTGTTTCCCTTCAAGCAGCTAAGTCGGCATGCAAGCTCTTCATTCTTAAAGACCATTTGATCAAAGAAAAACATGGTTGATTCTCAAGGCAGCCGCAACCAAGGATGCAGCTCTTCTTTTTTTTTTGGATAGTGTTGCAAAGGCGACTTTGAAAAGTTGAGGCCTCTTGACCGATGGCACCCATCTCGGCCATGGCCTGCTCAGTTTCAGGCAACATCTCAAATTCCCCACATGTAGGATGTACGCGCGCGCACATACATCCGTCCATGAGATGCGCATAGAAAAAAAGCACGTAGACGTAGACACAAATTCCTATATATATATATATACAAAAATATGTGTGTGTGTGTAGATACAGGCATACCCTGAGTGTACAAGCAGCTCATATTTATACGAGTATTGCTCTGACATATAGATATAGGGACACTCTCCCAGCAAATAAGCAAGCGCACACGTGCACAAAAAGACACACGCACACAACCAGAGAGGGGCACAGATCCCAGGAGGTTGTGGAAACCATGAGGACCCCTTTGTCAGCTTAAAAGGGGGCCAAAAGAAACACCCATTGTCCGAGTACCTTGAAGGTCCCCCAGTAGTAGCCCTTTTACTGTTTCTTTTTTTAGGGAGGGTTCCCTTTTCTATTAAAGGATGCATTTTGCCCATTTTAAACATGGCCTTTTCCATCAAAATAAAGGGAACCCACCATTTACAAGGCAATGTTCAGGTGTACAATGTAAGCATTTTTGTTATAGACAAAAAGAAAAAGTGGGTACCCTTATTAGTTATTAGGTCCTCCTCTCTACAGGAGGACCTAGGCTCACTTTGACACATACCCACGGTTCCCTTTTCCAGTATAGACTACAGAAAAAAGTTGGCATCCTTATTCTAACCTCTCTACTGGTTCGGACCTGGCCTTTCTTTGACACACCCAGAGAGAGAGAGCCTTTGCTTCTGGCCATGGCTGCGCCCTCCATTTCTGCAGCCAAGACGGCGCTGCGGAAGCAGGCGTGGTGGAAGGTGAAAACAAAAACCGTGGGGCTCCCTTTGGTTGGGTTTAGAGTGACACCAAAAGGAAGCCAGCCATATTGGGGGCCACTCATTTAGAGGCAAACGAGGTTTTCTGGAATCTGGGGATGCCAGATTTCAAGTTTGTAGGCTAGTTGGCCAGGGATTTTGCTTGTTTGTTCCATTTTGGGCCATGGGTGAAGAAGAATGTCACTTGTGAAAATCGGGGGCCCAAATATGGTGATGTCCCTTTGGCCTTCCCGCCGAAGTGTCCTCAACAAGTCGAGACGCCCCCAAATCGCCAACAAACCAATGGTTTCCCATGTTTCAAAGTGGTGCAGGGTTTTGTCCATCCACAGTAGCGATCCACAGGGAGTTGCGACTTGCTGCGGCTTGGGGGGCCCCTTGTTTGGCAGACCAACCGCTCGCTGCGGCGAAAGCCATGTCACCAAGGCCTCTGGGAGGTGAGGGCCGATCTTGGGAATCTGGTATTTACAGGGGAATCATCATTCCAGGGAGCCTTAGGTGGTGCAGGATTTCGTCCATCCACAGTATGGCTCTGAAGCAGTTGTCTATTGCATAGTAGAAATTGGGCCTTTTTCAACCGGATTGCAGTCTTCAATTTCGGAGTTCCGTCTCGACCTGCAGTGTATGCACAAATTCCTCCAACACCGCTGCTTGGAGTGGACTTTGGGTGCCACATAGCCCATGACTTTTGATTTACTCAAGGGCAAAACATATGGGGCTGGGACATGTTTCTTTTTTTGTCAACCTGCTATGTAGCACCCACCTTGCTGCCCCGTGACTTTTTTGTAGCCATGTCACAATGTGACACTTGGCCATAGGCACAAGGCTTCATATGTACTCAGAAGTGTAGGTACCCACTGCATCATACAAACTACAGGTATTTGAATAGAAGCTTTTTCTTTTTGTTGTTTTGTTTTGCAGCTGTCGCTTTTGAATTTGCTGGTTTCTATGACTCACTGGCCCAAACCTAGCGAAAGGGTTTGGTTTCAGGAACATCTACAGGAAATCGCCCCCAAAACACTCTAAATCAGCTGTTTTCTTGAACTTAAAAAAAGAAACATCCCTTTGATCCAGGTTGTTCAGGGGCCTTGGGGGTTGATTCCCCATTCTTTCCAACCATTGTTCTTTTCACTCACCCGCTATTTTTCTGGGGTTTCCGCAGGCTTTCTAGAAAGATCCGGATCCCTGGGTTCAGAATGGAAATGGGGAAGTGTAGCCCCAGCTTCACGGTGCTTGGATCATGTTGTGCATGTTTTTGTTTTGTTTTTGGTTCTGTTCAATTTTTTACCGGGGTTTTGCAACAAAAACTTAAGCTGGCAGCTTTTCGCCAGCCCATACCAAGAGTAGAGACGCTTGGTGCGAGCCTCGCGGGGGAGCGCAGCTCTGGCGTCCCGAGATGGATCCCGTCGATCCGGATCGAGAGGTGCGCGCCACGCTGAAGACCTTGGACGAGGCGGAGCTGGGCCGCCAGAGCGAGGCGCGCGAGAAGCCGAAGGGTGAAGCCGAAGGTTCCGGTGAAGCTGGGCTTGGCTTCGAAGTGGGGGCTTTTGAAAAATGGCCGTTTTGTTTGTTTGTTTTTTTGCTGTTGGGGGTTGAAATGGGAAAACTGGCGGGTGTCCTGTTGTCCCATTGGAGAAAATCGCGGGTTTCCTTTTGGGTTGCTTCTCGACCATCCCTGTTTTGGGATACCCCCCCCAAAAAAGGCAGGCCCGACGAGCTTTGCGGAAAAAGCAGCCGGTACTTTTCAGGTGAGTGGTGATCGTAAGCCTGGTGAAATGAACCCAAAGAAGCCATGGATTGTTCCGTCCCTGTCCCGTGTGTTACAACTGAAGCCTACAGAAGCCAAGCGTGTTGGGGAGCCCCTGTGTTCGGACACAGACCCATCACAGCATGCCACTTGAGCTTTCCGGTGAGAAGACCAAGTGCTTAGTAACCCCAGTTCACCCTCCTTGCAACTAGGGGTGCTGCATGGTGCTGCAAGAAAAAAGCAAGGCAAACTCAAAACCAGACACAACAAACAAACAACACCAAGTTCAGTTCTGCACCCCTGACCATTCTAAGTGGTCACTAATCCCAAGCTCCCCCAATTAACGCGTAAACTTGATAAGTAAGGCACCCCGGGTGGAACCCACCTGGGTGGGGGGTGGGGGGTACGTTTTGACACGCGCCCGCCGGCTTCCCCTTTTTTGACTTACACGAGTTGTAGTTCATGACTTTTACAGCGAAATTACGGCAGACTAGACCAATTTGCTTAGGTGTTTCTTTATTTTCCCTTGTCGGTTTAAGCGGAATCTGTCACTATTGTATTTGTTTTCAGGGACTTCAGCAAATGGAGACAAAAGCCAAGTGGATTCACTAAGCTTCATAATGTTTGCTCTCTTGACTTCCCCTTTTGTTCCATGTTCCACGCTTGGCCCAAAAAGTTAGGGCAACTGCCCCCTGCTCACTACATAAGGTTGTCGCCCCACCAGTGCCTGAAAACATTCTCAGGTTGGCACTTGCACCTAGTGCGGCAACTGCGTGACCATGGCTTGGCCCATTTAGCGACCCAATTCCCCCGGGCCGTGAGACCAGATTTGTCGGGAGGCCGTGTGCCAGCGCCTGGTGCGCAGCCGTGCCTTCAGCGCAAGCCGCCGCATCGGCGCGCCTTCGATGCATGTTTGTTTTTTGTTTCCCAGTTGTTTTTTTTTTGTTTTTTTGTTTTTTTTGTGTGTGTGTGTGTGTGTGTTGTTTTGCTTCTTCTTCTTTTTTGTGTGTGTGTGTTTGCGTTTTTTTGGGGGGGGATTGGCTGTGGGCAGGGCGGGCGGGCGAAGGGGGAAAGATCCCTTACCAGAGTGAAAGTAGATGGCCAATTCCCTCTCCGTGTCGGTTGTCAGGGAGCTAAGGAGATGGGGGTATCCAGAATTTGCCTGTGAAGAGGGAGCCTTTCGGAGCTACCAGGAGTTCTGTGAGGCCATGGTAATAGCTTGACTGCTCTTGGCTTGGATCTTTAGACTTTAGCTTTTTGGGAAATGAAGGGGGTTTCCACGCGGTTTGGTAACATCTTACATCTTACATCTTACCAAACTTGAGGGATCACCCCACAAACACCCAAAAAAAGCCCCTTCCCGAACCAGAACCGGCAAGCCTGGGGGTCCGCAATGAATCTGCTCATTGCGAGCTGGAGGTAAAACGAGCTCACGAGCTTATCGTGATGCGGGCTTTGGAAGTTTTGTAGATTTTGAGTCACCCCCTTGATGAACTTGGAGACGGGGCTGGCCATGGTTTCATTTGTCCTTTTGTTCGTCCCTCCTCTCCCCTTAAGTCATTTAGGACCATATGGGGTTACGGTGTCTATGGGTTCTTCCTTTGGTAAAAACTGGCAAGCGCTTGTGGCTGCAACATGCTGCTGAATTCCTAACCAAACAACTGCACCAGGCTGTCAAAGGCTGCACACAACTGCGTGCAAAGTTGTCACACTAGTGCCATGGGCCGCTCAGAGGTACTGTGTTTTTGTATGACTTGGCAATAACGTTTGGGGAGACCAGCCCACAAACAAGCATAGCAAGTTAACAACTTTCCCCCAAATTCCTACAGCCTGGCGCCCTCAATATTCAATTCCGTCACTGTTCCATCCCAGTTCCTTCACACTTCTCTTCGCTTTGCATGCCAAAAGTGGGCAAACTGCATTATTTTCAATGATGGAATTGCTCAGATTCCCACAGCTTTCGCCCCCTTAATCAACTGCCTGCGCCGCGCAATGCAACAACTGCAAGAAGCTGCAGACAGCTACAAGATTCCTGGATTTCGTGCGAGCCCCGAGCCGCAAGCCCAGGTTTGATTTTTCCATTAAGACCGACACCTACAAGGGCAATGCTGTTTCTTTCGAATGGGCAGGTGTCACCAAACAAAATTGGGGGTGGTTTTCCTTGCGGTGTCCCTTCCCCCCCCCCTCCCCCCCCAAAAAAAAGAGAGAAAGAGCCGCATCCTCAAAGAAAAGACGCACCAAAGGCTGGCCCAGGTTCACCCCCCCCCCCCTTCCTTCACCCCCATTCGCCGGATTTGAGAAGCACTGGTAACCGGCCGCCTTGGGCACCCGCAGCAACTGCCATTTGCCCAAGTTTGGCCTGAAAAAACGCAAACAACACGAAGGCCAGGCTTGTGGGTATGGGGTCTCCATCAAAATTCTGCGATCTTTCAGGGCAAGCTCACCGTGAAGCCGAATCTGAGCATATGATTTCCCGCATACGCGAGAGTTGTTTGGGGTAACAACAAAAGTATAGCTAGGGGTGGGCATCCATGCAGGGGTCTTTTTGTGCATGTCTCGTACCTTTTTTCATGTGTGAAAATAGGGCCTCCCAAAACACACACACAAACAAACGAGAGGTGGTGGTCCTTTCGTTTCCCCTTACACCTAACACCCAAGCAACAAGGGGCTTTCCTACGAAGGACACACCAACATGGCTGTGGCCCACAAACATGTACCAAAATGGCACCTTGGCAAATGTAACCACAGACCAACACCTGTGTAACCCTGGCTCTTTGATTTGGCGCCACACACAGAAATCAAGTTGGGTTTTCCACCAAACCCCCAAACAGCTTTTTGCAGGGGGGTCTCGCCAGCAACCAAGAAATGTTGCTTGGATGTTAGGACTTTAACTTTTTGCCAACCAATGGGTTTCCATTGAGCCACTAATAGTTAGAAACCTATAGCAGGGGAGCAGAGAGCAACCGAGAAATTGTCCCATCTGCCGCTGTGACGTCGCCGGCCTTCGAGGTCTTCCTGGCTATGCCGCGGGGAGAGATCCGCACGGAGCCCATCCTGAAGGAGGCATTCCTGCAAGGCAGCGAGCGAGGGGTTGGCCTGGCGTCGTTTTGGAGGGACACCACTACTTCCATTTGCTGAAATGTATGTGTTTTGTCTTCTTTTTTTGTTGGTTTTGAAGGGAATCTATTTCACTAATGGAAGTATGTTTATTTTTTTCCCGTGGGAGTTAAGCAAATTGATGAGCAGCAAAGCAGGGGTCACTGGATTTACCATTCAAAAGTTGCCTTTTGACTGGTGGGTTCCATTGAAACTTGAAACTGCCACTGTTGGAGGTTAAATGGTATGGCCCAATTGGCGGTTTGGATTGGTTTGGAGACTTGAACCTCGGGGTCTTGTAGAGGGTAAGCGGAAAACCAAAATCCCTGTTTCGACACATACCCGCTTGCAGGGCCGCAGGCCGCTGGTCCGCCTGGTTTTGGAGGGGTGTTTCTTCAAAAATCATTTGCCAAGAGAAAGGGTGCCATTGGAGCCTCCCCGTGGAAGAGAGGCTTGCCGCGAAGTTGCATGTGTTGTTGTTGGCTAATAAGAATAAGAGGGCTCCTTTGAAAGACAGCAATGGGTGACCCACAATCCGCGGCAAGGCAAGAGCGTGTACTGCCCACGGGTGATGGGCGAAGGGTGGATGGAGTTCTTCGAGGCACGTGCAAGCCGGGAGGAAGATGCATGCAACCGGCAAGCAAACATATTCCTGGCCCCCCTTTTTGCAACCATTCTAGTGGTTGATTCCAACCATTCTTTTCAACCATCGTTCTTTCCAAACACCGGATGCGTTTTCCCTCGGTTTCCGGAGTTTTTTCTAGAAAGATCCGGATCCCTGGGTTCAGGAAATGGAAATGGGAAAGTGTCCCCTAGAATGGGCTCCGTGATCCCGAGTAGTCTTTCGCCCACGGATCCTCGGTGCCCATGGCTCCAGACCTGCAGGTGAGGAGCTGTGAGGAAGCCGCGCAGCTGCCCCTGTCCAAGTGGCAGATCCCGGCCGCTTGGCTGACGGATGCCCTATCTCTCAGGGTTGTTACACCCAGCCCGGTGGACTTTTTTTGCAGGGGGGTCCCTTGACTACTAAAAGGGGCGATCGGGTACTTAGTAAGTGCATATAAAGCTTGGTTACAGCCCACTTAGGAGACTTATAACCATGGCAAGTGGGTTAACCAGGCTTTCTAACCACTTACTGAGTACCCTGCCCCTTTAAGTACCAACAAATAGAGAGTCCCATGGCCACTGGGGGTGTAGGTGGAGTTGTGATGCGATGAACCAAGCTGACTCAGAAAGTTACGATACTCGCTAACGTTATGTTTCATGATGTTGCTTCAAAGTAAGCTATGGAACGAAGCTTGCCTTGCCCTGAAGCCGGTTTCACTCGGCGAAAGGCAGCCAGAGAGTGAATTTGATAGTACAATTGCATTGCCTACATGAGCTATGGTCCAGGGAGTCTGGATACCCAACGATGGGACAAATGATTTTAAGTAGCGCCGTCACAAATAGGTTAAAAGCAACAAGAACCTGCTGTTCCAGACGTTCCTCCTTTCCCAACAACGGCCCAACACCCAGGGCAAAGGCTAGTTTCCGAAAATAACGATGGCGAGAAAGAAAGGAAAGGGATCACCCACCTGAAGCCAGAAGTGCTGCAAGGACACCTTCACCAAGAACAAGTTGCGAGTACAATGTGCAGCAAAAACATGCAAAAACCCACCAGACCTGAAGCAGCCCCCAAAAGACCTGAATCAAGACCGAACGCCCCAAACCTGAGCCCTCAAGTTTTGGAAGCCCTGGATCCTGAGCGCCAAAGACTAAGCCCAGGTGAAATCCCCAGCCCCAGAACCCCGTGGCGCAAGCTGCAAACGCTCGGGCGGAGACCCCAAAGCTTTCAGCTGGAACAAGTGACTTCCTCTTGGCTTCCCTAGCCCCACCGGGAATCCTGAAAACAAGAGGGCCTATCGAGCCCAAAGCTCTCAGACCAAAGCAAAGCAAACAAAGACGAACTCCAAAAGCGATTGACATCTAGATCCCCCAGTGCCCTTTTACCGTTTCTTTTTTAGGGAGGGTTCCCCTATTAAAATAGACCGCAAGAAACAAAGGTTTACCCTTATTCTAACCTCTCCACTGGAGGACCTAGACATGGTTTTCTGACCTGTCCTTTTAAAAGGACCAGATCCCGAACGCCAGGTTCCAAGTGAAAGGGAGGGTACCCGACAACTGAGGCCCTGCCAACATGTGTCGGAAACCCTGAATGAAGAATCCTGAAAGCAACACGAAGGAACTCCAAAACGCTGAATCATTTACCAAACCTCAGGTTTCAAGCATGGAAACCCATGAAAAGCCTGGAATTGGAGGGTACCCCTCTGATTTCCTTTGGTATCTCCCATGGGTTTACTTCCATTTCCACAAACCAAACCTGCCAAAAGCCAGCCACACCAACCCATGCCTGGAATTGGAGGTATCCACCATGGGTTTCCTGCCATTACCACAAGCCAAACTCAAAAGCCGGAAAAATAAAAAAAAAACACCAAGTCATGGGTACCCCAATCCCAACCAAAACCCGCCCCCAAACCTTTCCTCTGGTACCATGGGTTTACTTCCATGGAAAATACCCAAATCCCAACCAAAAAACAAAAACAAAAAAGAAAGCTTGGAGCCCATAAATACCCGAATCCCAACCAAAATCCCGCCCCCCCAAACCTTCCCACCTTCCAGGCACACACCCCCCCCAACACCCACACCCCCACACCCCCCCCACACCCCCCGCCCCCCCACCACCAGCCCGGCTAGGAGCCCCTGGAGACGAGTCCTCGCGTGGAGCCCTGGGACCTGGATCTGCTGCTGCTGCCCGCCGTGGCGCTGGACCTGCGCCGCCGCCGCTGCGGCCAGGGCATGGGCCCCTCGGAGCGGGGAGCGGATCGATCCGGAGCGGCGGGAGCGGAAGCGGGGAGCGGGGTTCGCCGTTCCTGGGGCGAAGCCCGGCGATTGGGGCGGAGCCTTTCACTTACCTCTTAAAAAAACACAAGACTGTTCGTAACTGTTTGGAGGTAACATGGGCTATCTGTAAAAGATGAACACTTCCCCAGGTTGCTTGGAGTTTTAAGGGGTAAGTTTCTCACCGTTTCTTTTTTCGGGTGGGAGGGTTCCGAACCCTACTCAAATGGAATACAGAAGAAAGTTGGTGCCCGTATTCTATCCTCTCTACTGGAGGACCTAGCGACTTAAAGGGGCGGGCGACTTAATAAGCGGGTAGTAAGCGTGAGCTCCTGATGTACAAAGTGCGGGTGCTTTTTTGGGGCAATCCGCTCAGGAAGTGAGAGATTTGAGCGTGTGCCTCTTTTTGAGTGCGCCCTTTTCAATCTGCCGTCTGTTTTTGCTGTCGACCAATCTTGGCACACACGGGCGCCTGTAAAAGCAGGGGAGCCCCTTTTCATCCCCAAAACAAGTCCAACAGCGGGCGGGTACCCTCCAAAAAAAGAGAGAGAGAGAGAGAGAGAGAGCGAGAGAGAGAGAGAGAGAGAGAGAGAGACCCAATTTCCGAGTGATTCAAGCGGAAGCTTGTTTCTGGATGAAGCCTGGGCAAGCCTTTTTCCCGAAAGGTGGCCTGACGGGTGGGTCCCGTTGCGCCATTAGAGTTTGGCAACATTTGTCAATATGCTCCAGGCTTGTATGGCGAGCTCAGGGATACCCTGTGGTACAGGGGCATGTACTTGTATATATGTGTTTGCATGTAGAAGTATGTGTGTACAACATGTTTACATAAATCCCCTAAGAACAGAATGGTTGACCCAATGTAAATGATGAAACTCAGGTTCAACAATGGCGGCTGTATTAACTCAACCATTGCTTTAGTGCTGGTATGCGTCGCCGGGTGTACATATAAGGGTGTACACACACACACATATATATATATATACACATATATATATATATATTTATACAGTTTTACTTGGGGGGGGGAAGGTGAAATTGCAAAGCCCTGGGGAGAGCTGCGTCCCTAAGAGCCCTTTCATTTGGTGCATTTCGCAGAAGATGGTTTGCCCTTAAAGGGGGGTTCCAACTTTTTTGTCCTCTTGTTCAGGCCGCTAGTTTGGGGGTCCCTTTTGTTTATTTCAACACAACCACCTCAGTTTTGGGTTTTGAGGGTCCCTTCTGTTTATTTGTGGGCAAGCTCCACAAAACCAGCTGGAAGGTCCGCGCATCTTAGAAGCCTTCGCTTCAGGCTTCTACGACCGCTACCTCCAGCGCGCCAAGCGCCACGCAGACGCAAGGCCATGCTTCGGAAAAAGCGCACGGGTTTTATGGGGCAATTTGTTCTGCGCTAACCAACTCACTCCACCTAAAACGAGAAGTAGTCACAGGGATGGCCCACTTCCCAGACCTCTAGTGGTGCCCTTTCTTTCCTGAGGGCTTCCCCTTTAAAGCCAACCAAGGCGTGCCACATTTTTTGGGAGGGCTTCCCCTTTAAAGTTTGCCCAAGGCTGGGGGTGCTTTGAGCTTCTCCCCCCAACCACCCCGAAGGGCGATATGCAGCCACAACCAAAAGAAAAGCACAGCCCCCATCCACCATGCACTCAGTCTAAAGCAAAATGCCGACCAGAAAGCTGGCGCTCAATGAACTCAGTTTTTCACGCGACACGCCGACCAAAAAAGCCGCTCCGGGATGGCGCTCTTCTTCAAGGGGCAGGGTACTTAGTAAGTGGTCAGTTTGCCTGGCTATACCCAGCTGAACGGAGACTGAACAAACCATGGCTTTGGTGGGTTAGAAGTTTTTCCACTGGCTTACAATCACCACTTATCTGACTCACAGGCTGCCCCTTGCAGTATATTTCCCGCAAGCCTTCAACCGCTTTTTTTTTGTTGGGTGGCAAAAACACAGGAATTTCCCACCACCCCATGAGTTGCCGGAGGGGTGGTGCTGCAGTGCTGCTCCTTAGAACCAGTCGTTGCAGGGCACTGCTTCCTCAAAAACCCAGTGAAATTTCCATGTTGTTTGTTGTTGCCAGGCTTTCTTCATGGGTCTTTATGGCTGGTCAATTACTGTAATCCACTCAGGAAGTGAGGCTCTGGGATGGCCTTCTAGGGATAGATATAAAATAGGCTAAAATAGACTAAAATGAGCTAAAATGGGTGGTGAATTCACCTACCAACCAAAATGGGATCCCAAAACGGCTTTGACAACCACAGCCATACTGTGGATGGACGAAATCCATGTCGCACCACCTAAAAAAAATCCCTGGGGTGATGCTTCTGTAAATGCCAACAAACGTTATGGTTTGCTGTGGTGCATCGTCCACCCGCAGTATCTCCCACCGCCCTTGGAACAAATGCGCGGAGCGGAGGCCGCCGCTGCGTGCCGTGGGCATCGGCCTGGCGCAGCAGCGGGTGGAGGAGGTGCCCTGCGAGGAGCACGACGAGCTGCTGGACGCCGCGCCTCGACGGGAAGCGATCATGGTTGTTGGGAAACATTTTACATGTTTATGCTTATTGTGGTTTAGGTGGTTGAATTCCAACCCACAAAATCTGCATTCAAAACAAGAAGCAAACACAATTTTGTGGTTTAGTGGTTGAAATCCAACAACGTAGCTGCTAAAATTTGAGAATTTTTGCTCCCCAAACCCAACGTCAGCCAAGCGATGTGGGTATGGGTCAAAATGAAACCACCAGAAAACAAACCACAGGTGTTGGTCCATGTTTCCACTTGGGTTCCATTTGGGGCACCTATTTTTGACCCACAGCCATGTGTAGCTGGTGCTATGACCTGTTTTCCGGCTTTCTTGGCGGTTCCCGGCCATGCCCTTTAGCTTTCTAGATTTTTGTTGGTGTTTAGTGGTGGGATTTCCGAATTTAGCCCACTAAAAGTTAGAGATTTACCGGGGGGGATCAGAAATCGGACAGCCCAGTTTTGGTCAGTTTGGTCAACCTTTGAAAACCCAGGTCCGAACTGGGCCCTATTTCGCGGCCGATTTCGCGAAGAAATGCCCCTGGCTCTTGTAGAGGGCAAAGGGGAAACCACCCCGAAACCACCTCCAAACCAAACCACCAATGCAAACCACCAGTTAGAGGGAAACTGAAAAAGGGCTTAAGTCAGAATGGGGTTATGGGGTAGTTTGCGATTTGATACCACGTTTTGTCATTCATGGTCAGGGCGGTAGATATCGGGAATTATTTTGCCATACGAATTACCCGTTTTGGAGGCTGGTTTGTATAAATGGGAGCCAAGGGCAAATCACTTCTTTGCTTTGGGGGCGTTCCCCTACTTTGACAGATGCCCATATGCCCCGACATAGAAGACTCGGAAACAAACATATGGTGGTTTTTCCGCTTGGTTTTCGTTTAAACCGACTTGAAACGGGTGCCCGCAACAGAAAACCCAGGCACACCTAAATCAGTTGAAAAGTTTTAAATTCTGGGCTGTTCAAAAGGCATTCCTCAATCCTGAAATCCTCTGGTGAGAACAAAGCAGCCCTTTGCAATGTCCGGATTGAGAAGAACCTCCAATGGAAGAGCAACTGGCCCAAGAGGGAAGCATGGGACAACTCTGCAGTCATGAGCTAGGCGTTTGGGCTCCTAGGTGTTTCGTTTCAGGGCATGCCATTGCGTGTCCGTACCCTCTTTTGATGGTTCTTTTTTTGGGAAATGAAGGGAGCACCACCAGCTTGTGGGTTTGGTTGTTCTTGCAAGCTATCCACAGCACGTGGCCACAAGACAACATGGCGCCCGCCTTCTTCAGGTATCCCCAGTTGGTGGTGTGGATTGGTTTGGGATTTGAACGTTCTGGTTCTTGAGGGCAAATGGGAATTCCCGCGACTCCGAACCACCAAACCACCAATATCCAATGAGAGGATCCCCGCCCCCTTTGAAATGGAATTGGGGGAGGGGGGTGACCCCTGGAATTCCATTTATAGTTCCATTTTCCCTTTCAGGGGGAAGACTACATAAATGGAATCGGGGGACCGGGTCCCTACCCCCTCCCCCCTAAGGTAGGGGGGATTATGAGGGGGAAGCTGACTTTTGGATGCTGGTCGGAAGCCCGCCAACAAATCAACACCTTTGGGGAGCCCCAAACATCCGCCAAAACCTACCCTTAGGGCAAGAGTACCACTGAGCAAAACCTCGTTGCGCGTGTTTTTTTTTGGTTTGCGGGGGGGAAGTGTATGATTTGTGGGGTCCCTGGCGATTTGTGAGCAAAATCGAGACCCAGAGATGGTGATTTCTCTCACATGTGCAAATGGGGATGGACTAGAGCCTCGGGCACCTGTCATGAATGTCTTGAGTGCGTAGTTTGTTTGGGCCTGCACATTTGGACAGTCTTCCATTTGCTGAAAGGAATGTTTTCCAGGGGACCTTGGGGGACTTAAGCAAATGGAAGCATTCTGATCGTGTGTTTCAAGAACCGAGCCACAATCAAAACCCGGGTAGATGAAGGTTAGTAAGGGGCAGTCCCAGCCAGAAATAGTTGCGGATATCCGCCTTCTTGATTCCAGAGCATGGTTCTGGACTTACGACCATTTTAATACCAAGGGTTTTATTACCAAGGGTTTTAATACCAAGGGTTTTGCATGTGTTGCACCAGATCCCCAGATCCCAAGCCAACACGACCAAAGGCAGTTGCCGAAGCGAGGTCATCTTTCCAGACTGCGAGGAGTTTTCCGAGGAGCTGAAAGCGGAAGAGCCAGCTGCCTGATGCCTGGAAGACGCGGCGTCTAGACCGGTGGGTCTTTTTCCGGCTCGGTCCAAAGGGAGTCGACCTCTTGGCCGAAGAGTCATGAAGCAAAGCAGTTGAGCTTTTTTTTATTTCCGGATTCTTTGCGCACTTGCTAAGCCGGGGATTTCTTATTTCAAGCACCTGGCCCCTTTTGCCCCGGCTTGATTCTTCGGGTTGGGTATGCTCACGGTACGAACATATGGCCGGCTTTTGGGAACGTTGCAGCCCGGATTTTCCGAGTTTGTGGCGTTTAGTTTGCTTGCGATATTTCGGGCATGTCGTATGGTTAGTGATAGTTCAATTGCACTACTGTGGATGGACGAAATCCATTTCGCACTTCAGAAACCCAACGCGCAAATATACCAGCTAAACGTGGTTTCATTTCGTGCGAGCCTGGATGTCGCAATTTCCGCGAGTCGCGAGCGAGGCCACGGACGGCCATTGCGAGCAAAACGGGACCGGTCGCTTGCGCTTTTTCGTTTCGCGCTGGGACTTGGGTTTTTGTTGGTTGCTGACAGGCGTTTCATGGGGAGTTCCTTGGATTGGACCACCCCCGAGAAAAAAAAAAAAAAACATCGGGCGGCATGTCGGTTTTTATGTTGGTTTACAGGGAAGCAAAAAGAAGCCAACCATAGGGCTTCCCCCGATTTTAAGAGGTAACAACAGAGAACCTAAGGCACAGAGTTGGGAATGGGTTGTCCCGTCCGCTTGATTGGGAAAGGAACTCCATCTTGGCCCCATCGACGGCAAGCTAACCAAAAGCTGGGGAGGGGTCGCCGACTTTCAGAAGCCCTATTTTTTAAGCCCCCCTCGGGATTTACATGGTTTTGGATAGACTCAACAGGTTTCTTGGGGTCTCCTCCCAAGCTATTTCAGGAGCTAGGCGTATCCAAATTTGCCTTTCTTCCGGAACTACCAAGAATTCTAGTTAATGTTGACCCAGGATTCATAAACCCGTCCCACTATTGGGGGGTGTTCCCTCCAAAAGTTGTGAATCCCCACTAAAAGGGGACACCCCCCTATTAATCAACCAGGGGTTTATGAATCCGGGGTTGACATTATCCATTGTTTTTGCGACTTGCTGAGCTCAGGATCGACTTCCGCAGTTCCTGGGCTACGAGTACGTGGGGGCGCCTTGGGGCCACATCGTGCCCAACTGCACCAAAAACAGCGGCAACGGTGGCTTCTCGCTGCGCGACAAGCAGGCGAGCGAGTTGCGGAGTTGGGGGCGACATCTCAAAAACCAACTAGGGACCCCAGTATAGTGCCCTTTTACCCTTTTTCGGGGGAGGGTTCCCGTACTGAAATAGACTACCAAAAAAGGGTACCCTTATTATAACCTCTGCACTGGAGGACCTAGCCAAGCTGGGCAAGTTAGACCTGACTGATCAAATAATATGTCCCCCCTGTCACCAATCTTCCAGCGCTTCCAAACTACCTCCAGGGGAACAGGTGCTTGATGGGAGTTTGTCAAAGGAAGTTTAGAAGGAACTTCCGTGTTACGGCAACTAATTGAAAGCTAGCTCTTCAGACAAATGACAAGAGAAGCGAGAAAAAATGCGCGCGCGTGTGGCAGGGGAAGAGAAAGTCGCAAAAAGCGTGGCGCTGTGCGTGAATCGGCATTTTCGAAGATGAGAAAGTTGTCGCAAACAGCGTAGCCCTGTGCGCGAATTGGCGTCTCCGGAGATGCGAAAGCTAGCCTGTCCGCGGCGTTTGGTCGGAGCATGCTCGGAGCGGTCTCGGAGCGGGCTCGGCGCCGGGCCCATTGGCACGGCGACGCAGAGGTTTCGCAAGGTTTGAATTGCGTGGCAGGCGCAGAAATTTTGGTGAGATTTCGTGGCAGGCGCAGCACTTTCGCAAGGTCAACTTTTCTCAAGGTTTGAATTGCGTGGCAGGCCCAGCACTTTCGATAGGTCAGGTACAGGTTTCGTGGCAGGTGCAGCACTTTCGCAAGGTCAAGTATAGATTTCGTGGCAGGCGCAGCACTTTCGCAAGGTCAAGTAAAGATTTCGTGGCAGGCGCAGCATTTTCGCCAGGTCAAGTACAGAATTCAAGGCAGGTGCAGCACTTTCGCAAGGTCATGTGCAGAACGCGTGGCAGGCGCAGCATTTTGGCAAGGTCGGGTGCAGATTTCGTGGCAGGCGCAGCACTCGCAAGGTCAAGTGCAGAATTCGTGGCAGGCGCAGCACTGTCGCAAGGTCAAGTAATTTCGTAACACGCAGCACTTTCGCAAGGTCAACTTTCGCAGCCGGGGCTCGAAAATCGCAACTCTTAAGTGCAAAAGTAGTACGCGAAGTCAACTTTCGCAAAAATCGCAACTTTCAAGTACGAAAGTAGTACGCGAAGTCCACTTTCGCAGCTGGGGCTTGAAAATCGCAACTTTTAAGTACGAAAGTAGTACGTGAAGTCCACTTTCGCAGCTGGGGCTCGAAAATCGCAACTTTTAAGTACGAAAGTAGTACGCGAATTCAACTTTCAAAATCGCAACTTTTAAGTGCAGATATAGATGGATAGATAGATAGATCGATAAACAGATAGAGAGAGCTAGAGAGATAGATAGAAAGAGAGATAGAGAGAGAGATAAATTGATAGATAGAGAGAGAGAAGATAAATAGATAGATAAATAGATAGAGAGAGAGAGCGAGATAGATAGATAGATAGACAGAGAGAGAAATAAAGAGATAAACAGATAGATAGATAGACAAATAGATAGATAGATAGATAGAGAGAGATAAATAAATAAATAGAAAAAGAGATAGAGAGATAGATAAATAGATAGGTACATGGATAGAGAAATAGATAGATAGATAGATAGAGAGGTAGTTAAGTAGAGAGAGAGAGAGCGAGAGAGATAAAGAGATAGATAGAGAGATTGATAGAAAGATAGATCGATATATAAAGAGAGAAAAACATATAGATAGATAGATAGAGCGATAAAAGATGGAAAAATTCACGAGAGATAGAGAGATAGATAAATAGATAGACAGATAGATAGATAGAAAAGAGATAGATACCTAGCTAGAGAGATAGATAGATAGATAGAGATAGAGAGAGGGATAAAGACATAGATAAATAGATAGATAGGTAGATAGAGAGAAAGATAGAGAGATAGGGAGAGAGAGAGATAGATAGATAGATAGATAGAGAGGTAATTAGATAGATAGGTAAAGAGGGAGAGATAGAGAGACAGATAGAGAGATGGATAGATAGAGAGACAGAAAGAAAGGTAGATAGAGAGATGCAGAGATGGATACATAGACCGATAGATAGATAGACAGAGAGATAGACAGATAGAGAGAGATAGATAGATAGGTAGATAGGTAGATAGAGGGATACAAAGAGAGATAAATAGATACGTAGATGGATAGAGAAATAGATAGATAGATAGATAGATAGAGCGAGAGACAGATAGATAGATAGATCGATAGATAGATAGATAAAGAGATAGATAGATAGATAGATGCGCGGGAGATAGATGGAGAGATAGATAGATAGAAAAAGATAGAGAGAGAGAGAAAGCGATAGAGAGATAGATAGAAAGAAAGAAAGAAAGAGAGATAGAGAGATAGAAGATAGAAAGAAAGAGAGATAGAGAGGCAGATAGAGAGATAAACAGATAGATAGATAAACAAACAGATTGATAGATAGAGAAATAAATAGATAGATAGAGAGAGAGAGAGATAAATAAATAGAAAGAGATAGGTAGATGGATAGAGAAATAGATAGATAGATAGATAAATAGATAGAGAGGTAGATAGATAGATAGATAGATAGGTAGAGAGAGAGAGAGATACAGAGATAGATAAACAGATTGATAGATAAAGAGATAGAAAGATAGATAGATATATAGAGAGAGAGAGAGAGAGAAATATAGATAGCTAGAAAGATAGATAAATAGAGAGATAAAAGGAGGAGCAACACACGAGAGATAGAGAGATAGACAAATAGATAGAAAGAAAGATTGGTAGAGAGATGGATAGAGAGATAAACAGATAGATAGATAAGCAAACAGATAGATAGACAAATAGATAGATAGAGAGAGCGAGAGAGATAAGTAAATAGATAGAAAGAGAGATAGAGAGATAGATAGATAGATAGGTAGATGGATAGAGAAATAGATAGCTAGATAAATAGATAGATAGATAGAGAGGTACATAGATACATAGGTAAAGAGAGACAGTAGAGAGACAGATAGAGAGATGGATAGATAGATAGATAGAAAAGATAGATAGATAGATAGATGCGCGGGAGATAGATGGAGAGATAGATAGATAGAAAGAGATAGAGAGAGAAGAGAGATAGAAAGAAAGAAATAAAGAAAGAAAGAAAGAAAGAGAGATAGAGAGATAGATAGATAGAAAGAAAGAGAGATAGAAAGATAGATAGAGAGATAAACAAATAGATAGATAAACAAACAGATAGATAGATAGACAAATAGATAGATAGAAAGAGATAAATAAATAGTTAGAGAGATATAGAGATAGATAGATAGATAGATAGGGAGGCGGATAGAGACATAGATAGATAGGTAAAGAGAGACAGTAGAGAGACAGATAGAGAGATGCATAGATAGTAAATACACGAGAGATAGAGAGATAGATAGAGAGATAATCAGATAGATAGATAAACAAACAGATAGATAGATAGACAAATACATAGATAGAAAGAGATAAATAAATAGATAGAGAGATATAGAAATAGATAGATAGATAGATAGATAGACGGATAGAGACATAGATAGAAAGATAAATAGATAGATAGATAAAAAGAGAGGTACGTAGATAGATAGGTAAAGAGAGACAGTAGAGAGACAGATGGAGAGATGGATAGATAGTAAATACACGAGAGATAGAGAGATAGAGAGATAGACAGATAGAGAGAGAGAGAGAGATAGAGAGATAGACAGAGAGAGAGAGAGAGATAGACAGATAGGTAGATAGAGGGATGCATAGAGAGATAGAGAGATAGGTAGATAGAAAGATAGATAGATGCGCGGGAGATAGATGGAGAGATAGATAGATAGAAAGAAATAGAGAGAGAGAGGGAGAGAGAGACAGAGAGATAGATTGAAAGAAAGAAAGAAAGAGATAGAAAGATAGATAAAAAAGATAAATACATAAACAAACATAAGATAGATAGACAGATAGATAGATAGATAGATAGAGAAATACATAGGTAAATAAATGGCGAGATAGATCGATAGATAGATAGGTAGATGGATAGAGAAATCGAAAGATAGCTAGATAGATAGATAAATAGATAGAGATGTAGATAGCTAGATAGACAGATAGAGAGATACAGAACGATAGAGAGAGAGATAGATAGAAAGAAAGAGAGATAGAGAGATAGGTAGATATATAGATAGAGAGATAGATAGACAGATAGATAGATAGACAGAGAAGATAGATAGAGAGATAGATAGGTAGATAAGCAGATAGATAGCTAGATAGATAGACAGAGAAGATCGATAGAGAGATAGATAGGTAGATAAGCAGATAGATAGCTAACACGAGAGATAGATAGATAGGTCGTTAGGTAGATACATAAGTAGAGAAAGATGTATAGATATATAGATAGACAGACAGATAGATAGACAGAGAAGAGACAAAAGAAAGAACAGCACAAAAACAAGCAAACGAAAGAAAGAAAGAAAATACAGATAGAAAGAAGGAAAGAAGGGAGGAAGGAAGGAAAAACAGGAAGAAAGGAAGAATGACGGAGAAAGAAGAAACAATGAAACTGAAGAAGAAGAGAAACAGAGTCAAGAAAAGAAAGAGAAAGATAACTATAGTTTTTATATTTTTGAAACTTCTGCCCACCGGCTTCGCCGGCTCTACTGGTAGTTCTACTGGGGCCTGGGGTTGGTATCCAAAGCAACATATTTTTAGTCATCGAGTCATGACCGCGTGAGTTTTCATTTTTAGCTCCTTAAATTGAAGCAACATCTATAGGCAGGAGATCCTTGTTCTGGTGGGTATTTGGCAAAAATCCGGCCCGTGAAATGGCTTTGTAGCTGCTTTCTATGATGCTGAGTTCCACCTTCCGCCACGGGTTTAGGAAGCTTCCCCCTAACATGGGCCCTGAGTTCACAGTGCTCAGTTGTCCAAGGCGAGCCGACTGGATCTGAGCTTTTGGTTCTCCCATGTTGGCCCATGTTTAGTCAAGGTGTCCAAAGGCCATCACCTTTTCTGTCCAGGTCCTTAAGGGGCAAGTGAGGTTTTCAGGTTCACGTAGAGACGAATCTGATCCAACTGGTCACGGTTCCCAGCTTCACAGTGATTGAGGATTCGGGTCAAGCACCTGGGTTTGCAGGGTCATTTGCTCCCAAAAGCGCGCATGTCCAAGAAGTCTAAGGGGCTAAACGACTTATTCCCCTTTCATCGTGACTTGTGCTGTTAACGTACCCCATTCTCTCAGTTGCCCGACTTTCTGGCCTTTCGGTTTGCTCCATTTTTGGCAACATATTTGGTGGCCCCGAAAGACGATCACGTTTCTGGACCATGGCAGGCGAGTAGCTCTTTGTGGACGTCGCCTTGGGATTCTCGTGGTTTTCTACTTAACGGCGCGATCGATTCGGGACGTCAGGTAAGTGGTGATCGTAAGCCTGGTGAAGTAACCCACTGAACGGATTGGGCTTATTCACCGGACTTACGATCACCACTTAATGTTAACCCCCATATTAATCAACAGGGGTTCAACAGTACCTGACGCCCCGAATCGAGCGCGGCCTTTGCCGCCTTACGCCTTTTGCGGCAGGCGATGCTGGACATCACCAAGGCACACCCGCCCAATGGGCTGCCAGAGGCCCGCGCGCGAGACCCACACCAGTTTTAGGGGTCTCTAAACTGGAGCTCCCTTTACGCCACATTTTATCGGGATTGGATGTCACTGCAGGCGACTCCGACCCAGGACATCTAAGATGGTTTCGACTGCCATCGCAAAGCCATTGCATCGCCACTATGGTTTCCGGGTACAACTTCCTAAAGGGGGCTTGTCTCGTCACCTTGGGCGAGTATGTCATATCCGGATTTGCCAAATTGTAGTGAGACCCTCATGATCTGCGAGACTCTACCCTGTTTGCAGTTGGTCGGTGGGCCTCACACACACACACACCCCATTTAGCTACCTGGCGGATTTGGAGTTTGCACGCCGCGAAACCGCCTGCGCGGGTGTGTCATGGAAATACCCACTTGATGTTCGTGCACCGGTAGTTTTTGAAGGGAAGACCGAGGGAAACGCTATGTTTCAAAGGGTCCATCTCTCATTCAATGTTAGGCAGGCCCCAGCCATGGAAACGCCCAGAAGATAAGTAAATTTAAAAATCCCTGTTTAGACACCCTCGTCGCCTTGGCAAGAGGCTGCTGGCTTGCAGGGAAATGTGCATTGTGTGTCAGGTTGTTCTATATCTTTGAAACGGATTTCTTAATCGCCGTTCCCCGGTTGGCTCCCAAGCACACTTAAACAGCGAGGATGTACATGGTTCACTTCACTGTTCTTGGCGAGTATTTTGTTTGCTTTCTTTCTCGTTTCTGTTCACTTTTTAGGTGCGGGGAGGGGGCTGCAGTTTTTCAGTGTTTTTTTTTTTTGCAAGGCCATACCATGTGGGTTCTGAAGTTCTCACCCTGAGGATGTCTACTTTTGCTCCTATTTGAACCAGACGGCAGCTTCAGTGAACGAGAGCCGGGTGTTTTCCGTGGAAGAGCGGCTGAGCCCTCAGGAGAGACCAAAGGCTTTGCGAGAAACATATTTGGGTGTGTCTTTTTCTTCCTGGTGCTCAGTAGGGGTGGGAGTGAGCCTGTGGGTTCTGTTAAAGGAAGCTACAAGGTGTGGTTTATAGCGGTCGTTCCCTCATTCCCTGCTGGGCACCAGCATGCTGTTTGGGGACCCTGAGGAAAGCTGGTTTTCCTTTAAGCCAAACAACAGAGGTTTCCCGAAAAGAAGACACGCCCATGTTATACTTATGCCTGTTGGTTTCATATGGGGATCTATCCCAGACTTCAGCAAGTGGAGGTTTCCGGTTTGCTCAGACGCTTTTTGGCGGAGTTGGTGCGCTTTCAGAGGTCGTGTCTTTTCTTTGGCTTCCCAAACAACAGGTGTCGGCCTTTCTTGAGCTTACTGCTTCAGGTAATTCACTGTTCTTGGCAAGTTTGTTTGATTTGTTGTTTGGTTCTGTTCATTTTACTTGGTGGCTCCCAGCCATCCCCTTGGCTTCTTAGCTTTTTAGTGTTTAATGGTAGTTTTCATTTAACCCACTAAGAGTTATTCACTTTTAGTGGGGGATCTGAGGGCAGACCAGGAAAAAGGCGCCCAACTCCCACCCCAAACTAACCCTGACAACATACTCCTGCACCCGACCCCTCAGACTTATCCTTCGCCAACCTTACCCTGGCCCAACCCACCAGTCCCTTCAAATCCAAGACCCTCTTTGAGTTTTTCCAAGCTCAAGCCCAAGCCCAAGCCAACTTTAGACCCTCAAGCCAACCTGGCTGTGGGTCAAAACCAATGGTACCATTTTGGGGTAGGTGAATTCACCACCCAATTTAGAACCTACTTTAGTGGGGATTGGGATGTTCACTGGGGGTATGAAATTCGGATTTTGACCCATGGCCACCTTATCCACCTACGCACACCCTCAACACCTTACTATCCCCGCCCCCTTAAAAATGGAATTTGGGGAGGGTGGAGACCCTGGAATTCCATTAGTTCCATTTTCCCTAGGAAGACTAATGGAATCGGGAAAAGGACCGGGTCCCTACCCCCTCCCGTTTTGGGGATACCCCAACCCACCAGTGCGCTACCCTCACAGGAGACGGCCCCCGAGGAGCCCTCCGTGGGCGTGCACGCGCTGGACCGGCATTGGGCGCCTTGGGACTCGGCGACTCGGGCTGAGTTGCGCGGGATCTTCTCGGCTTTCGCCGAATTCCATGGAGCTCATGGGGCCCGATAATATCTATATATATCTATATGTGTGTGTATGGCAGTGATTTTTTGAGGGGTCTGTAACAGAGCCGCGGCGGACATTCGTTACAGACCTCGTTACAGATCTCTGTAACAAGATTCGTGGCGCGTCGCGCGTTACAGACCCTCAAAAAAACACAGCACATGTCTGCATATAGACACACACACACACGTATATATATATATATATACAGGATATACATAAATACGTGTATATGTATATATATGTATATATATGTACATATTATACACATATACATACATGCATATATACATACATATGTTCTGTAAACACATGTACGTATGCATCTACTCATCTTGTTTAGGAGTAAACACTAAAGCCCAAGTATTCGAAGTTTACTCCTAGATTCAAGTTTGGAGATAAACTTACTGAAGGTGTAGTCTCGATTTAAGGGCTGAACGTTTGGTAATTTGTTGGGCTCTTATCCTGTTGACCCCAGATGAGTAGACCGGTCCTTAGGGTGGTGTTCCCTCCAAAAGTGACGAATCCCCATCAACCAGAGGTTGCTCTATCTAGTATCTAGGTTCAGCAATAGCTTTCGGAGGTGGACTTTGGCGCGAGCCAGATATGATGTATCCTTTAGGCCTGGCCTACTCAGAAGTACAATGTGAGCAAAGAGACAAGTTACAATTAGAATGGAGTATTGCTAGGTTTGTAAACCATACTTGCTCGTGATAGGAATCACTCATTGGCATGTAAAAAGGCCCCTACATCACTTCCTGGATCTACGGGAGCTAGTCGCCCTTTCAGTGCATTGATTTCAAGCTGAACTGGCCCGGTTTGGACCGCGGAGGAATTGGACCCCACAGAAAATGGGTTTGTTTGTTTTTTTTCCCCCGAATTTTGCGCACGAGCCCCAGTTGCCACCCAAAACGGGGAAATCCTGCGTGCCGGGCCTGAGGAAGTGTGTCTGGTTTCTTCTGTGGAACCGTCCAAGAAGGGGTCCACCATTTTGAAAACCCCACCCCCCCGGCCACTTTTGTTGGAAATGGTTAGCTTCCTTCACTGCTCTTGGCCAGTTGTTTATTTTGTTTGTTCCGTTCATGTTAGCTAGCTTCCTTTTGTTTGTTTATTCTGTTCATGCTAAGTAGGGGTTTGCAAACAACAAAGTTGTTCGCTACCAGGCCAGTTTGTTTTTTGGTTTCAGGTTGCCACTCACGTTTCGCCACTTCTTGGTGGACATCAGTTCCGCATGCTGGGTTTTTGTCCGAACACGCTGGACTTTTTGCAACGCAACGGAGTCAACGAGCATGGAACAGATGGTGCCCTTTGATGAGTTGGGCCACTTTTTTTTGCAAAAAAAGCCCGACTCGTGACGGGCCCATTTCCAATGAAGAACCAGGGGTCACAGAAAAGGGCCCATGCTCCGACAGAGCATGCTGGACAAATTCCTGGGATGAATGAAGCTGACGTATTTTTTTCCGATAAGCCACCTACTTTCTTAACCGAGTCCAGTTCTTCCCTTGAAGTTGCCCCTCAGAAGTAGAAGCCTTTTTTTTTGCGAAACGTGGTCAGATTTTCAGGTAAGCCTCATTTGTTGGTCGGTGGGCACTGGGGGTTTGAACCCTGAATCGCAAAGCGGAGGGTTAAAGGGACATATCTTTCCCGCAAGCCAGCCATCAAACCACCAGTTGTACTTGACTGCTATTGGGCAACGGATCTTTAGACTTTAATTTTTTGGTTGAGGTCAAGGCGTTTTCCACTGAACCCCAAAAAAGTGAAGAACTTTTTGCAGGGGGTCAACAGCAACCAAGTTTAGGGAAGCTGACATTTGGGCGTTTCTGACAAGGGACCCCAAGTGCTTGGTGTCTTTTTGGTTTCCCTTCTATTGGCCGCAAAGACTAGGAATGGGCCCAGCCTGGTCAGTGACAGAATTCCATGTATTTTGGTTCCAAGGGAACTTGGCTAGTTTCCCCAGAGCAACGCCTGGGTTTAAAGTTCCCAAATTTTCCCCCTCCCTCCCCCCCTTTAATGGAAAACACCTGACCTTAAACGGCAGGCAGATGCGTTCGAGGCATTATGCCACTTGCCTGGAAGTTGGGGGGGCGCCGGCCGGGCAAAATTTGAGGAGGCTTTTGTGGTGGTTTGGACTTGGATTTGGACCCTGGCTTTTGTAGGGATGAGATGGGTTCCCGAAACGGTTTCCCCTGTAGGTTTTGGTGGATGTTTTGTAGGGGTTCGTGGGGTGCGCCCGTCCAGCAAGCCACCAAAAATGTCATTTTCGTGCCCGCTTCCCAGGCCTGGGTGCCCAGTGAGATGGGTCCCGCTGTGGGTTTTGGTGGTTTGGCTTTGGATTTGGACCCTGGCTATTTTGTAGGGGGCTCATGGGAAACCCATGCAAACCACGAATGAGATGGGTTCCTCTGTAGGTGTTGGTGGATGTTCGGTTTGGCAACAGTGGTCCAATGGAAGAGGCGAAGACCCGGAAAAGGCCGGCGAGCTCACCTATGTAACATACATTGTAGATCCTCTATCTGGGGATACGTTTCGTACTTCTAAAAAATTAACTTTGGGAATTTGCGGACCATTTGGTGACAGTTCGGATATGTAAATTCAACTTTCAGGTTTGGCGTTGACGATTGTTCCACGATTCGACGATTGGGGTGCTGATTTGCAGCCGCTCTGGGGTGAAAACGCGAATCTTCGGAGCTATGTATCACCGTTGCCTGATCTGTCAGCATGTTGCCTTCCATTTGCTTAAAAACATGTGTGATGTCCAGATTTGTAGGTTTCTAGCTGTTTCTGAGTTTCAGTCCTTTGCCGGCACCAACACGGCCATGACCTTTCCCAAAACCGGCAAGCCTCCCGAATCCCATCGCCGGCGCATGGAAAGCCAGATCCTCTACGGGCCTTTCTGGCGGACCTGAAAAGGTAGAGAGCCCCATGTTCAAAATCTTGTTCGACCCCTTTTCTTGCTGGTGCGATAGGTAGGGAATGAGAAATGGACTGAACCTAGGGATTCCCGAATAAAGGAAACCACCAGTTGGATGGTTTAGTAGGGTGATTCCTTCATTCCCTACCGAGCATCAGCAAGTTTTGGATGGCGTTGCAAAAGAAACCACGCAACACTCCTAGCTATTCCTATTCAGTGCTTTGGATATCTTTTCCGATCATGCAAGCGGACAGAACCGCCCTGCTTTTTTACAAGAGGAAGGCTGTCTTTCCAAACCTTGCAAACCTTTCATGATTGTTGGAAAACCGTCAGCTTGAATTCGCTTCTGTGAGAAGTTTGATCAGGGGGCACTCCAGATCATTTCCCGCGGGTTGCCCTCCTGCAGATTGAATTTCAATAGGGAAAACAACAACCACTAGGTCCCCAGTAGTGCTCTTTTGGGAGGGCTCCCCTACTAAAATAGACTACAGAAAAAAAAAAAAAAAAAAAAAAAAAAAAAAAAAAAAAAAAAAAAAAAAAAAAAAAACAGGTTGGTACCCTTATTCTAAGCTCTCTACTGGAGGACCTAGACCATATCTTTTGGAAGCCCCGGGCCGCTTCAAAACGGCGCCCCACTTCCCACGGCCAGCCCCGGGTGGAAGCTCGCGCTTGCCTCGACGCGAGGCCCAGGCTTGATCCAGCCCCTGGGCTGAAGTTATTGGCCGATCTGCTTGGTCCTACGGCCCGGGTTCAATCACTTCCTCACGTCCGGGAACGGACCAACCGTCACCTTTTTTCGGGTGGTTTCAATCACTTCCTGACGTCCGGAAACGGACCAAAACGAGCGTCACTTCGTTTGGGGGTTTTGGCCGCCATTTTAGCGGTGAATCCAACGTGTGGTGACTTTTTTGGGGCAAATCCGCTCAGGAAGCGAGCGCGAGCTTAGCACCCAGTTGTTGGCCCTGTTGGCAAGCCCCATCCTTGGTGCTAAATAGCCAAGAGGTTTTGAACAGCATTGACTTTCCCACAAGGTTGTTTTTTCAATTCTCCTAGGGCCCCTAAGACGCACTAGTTGGTAGGTGTTTTTTCATTGTACTCGGCTGACCGGCAACAGTTAGGGCCAGGGGTCTTGTTTCTCTGTTTGTTACATCGTGAGTCCGGTGACCAAGCAGCATCCAAACAAGCGAAACAGCTTTGTTTGCTCTTTCCGTTAAATTGGGCTGTTCACTGGAGGGTTCATCCCTAATCACAGCCCCGGAAAGTGAGCAGCTTGAGGGGGGTTCGGAATTGCTTTCTTTGGGGTGATGTCCCTTCCTTCCATTTGCAGAAACGAATCTATTGTTATTTTCCCCTGTTGGTTTTAACAGCAATCGATCGCTAGTGGACATATTTGATTCTTGTCCAGGGTTGGCAAGAACGCAAATGGGAGTCGTTCTAAATTGCCAGTCTTCAAATTAAGCAAGGGAGGTTCTGAAGGTCTAGCGCGAAAGGAAAACATGGGGCCGCGAAAGGCCGGCGTAAGGAACGCAAAAGGACTTGACAGATAGCGAATACGGAGGCGAATACGAGAGACAGCTTTTGTCTCAAGTGGCCCAAGTGGCTCGAAAACGAGCTTTTCAGGACTGGTTTGTCACCGCGAAAGGAAATCATGGGGCCGCGAAAGGACCGCGAAAGGCCGGCGAAAGGGCCGTTTCCGGGAACTTTTATTTTGAACAACCCCCAAATGGAAGCATCCAACCATCATTTGCAGCGTTATTTTTTGGTTGTGATGTTGAAACGTGTCAAGAGGGCAGCGCGAGGATGCTGACGTGGAGGGACAGCATAGATGACAGCCCCGGCTGGACGAACAGCGAGGCAGTGGTGCAGGACTCGTTGGTGCGACGGCCGATGTTGACTAGGTCCATTGGAGTAGTGCCCTTTTTCCGTTTCTTTGGTTGGGAGGCTTCCCCTGCTGAAATAGACTACAGAAAACCTCCGGTCCGGTACCCTTGTTCTAAGCTCTCCACTGGACCCAGTTGACTTAAAGGCCCTTTGGTCACCTGCAAAACCGATTTGTGGGTTCGGGCCAGGCGAGACACTTCCCGGGTTCCGGAACTCGGACTTGGGCTGTCGAGCTTTTTGGGTTGCTTGACAGCCATTTTTTTGGTGGCAAGTGGCGAGTTTGGATACCTTCCTGGGCCAAGCCAGGGAGTGCGGGTCTCCTGCCAACCGATTTTTAGGTGGATGTATACCAATACATATATAGATATATATAGTTGTCTATATTTGGGGGCCAATAGATGGAATGGCATGGAATGGCAAAGAGACAAATCGGTGTTGCCCAGAAGTGAGCCAAGTGCTTCTGCTTTCATTTTTAATGGCCCCAAAAGGTGAAGCTTTTACTCCTTGGTCCGTTGGATTGAGCCGACAGCTCTATCCTGATAGGACTCCAAGTCAACGGATTTTGGGACGCTGCTCGTACACGAGCAATCAATACTCCGCTGATGCATATGGATCCCAAAGAGCCATCGGTTCTAGAGGAGGTTCCTTTCTTTTGGGAGCCCTTTTGTGGGTTTATGATTTGTGTATCTCGGATTTGGGAGGCACGTGGGAGAACACCAGAACCAGGGCATTGATACGAGCAACGAGCAAAGCTGTTCGGTCATCAGCAAAGATCATGACGTGAAATCCGCTCACCATAATGCTCACTGTGGCCATCTCGAGCCCGGAAACCGAGAGGACTCTCCTTTCCGGATTGGATCCTTCTTGTGTTTGTCAGTTTGCGAGAGGGGAACTGTTCTTTCTCACCTCACTGCCCAAGCAAGTCAAGGAATCAAGGTTTGACCTTGGAGGTTCTCCGTCTATGGTTGTTCCTTGCCTTTTTCCCCTGATCAACAGCAACCCCCAGAACCCTAGCCCGCCGCCGCTCCAAACCACTCCAGAGCCTATCCAAATAACAAACGCCGCAAACTTTTAAGCTGGGGAAATTGAAATTGATTCATGGAAGTCTGACGTCTCCCCCCCTGACGTCCCCCCTCAAAAAAATGTGGGGCCAAACAGTGTTTTCTTATTAGGCCCTTATTAGGGCTTGATACGCCGCTATGAAGGCTTAATAAGACTTATTTGCGGTCTTCATGAACAACACACATAAGGGCTTGTAAAGGGCTGTTAAGCCGTAAATCAAGATGTTGCGCAGCAAGAGTGAACTACCCACTGTTTGCGCAGTAGCTGGCTAGCCCCTAATTGTTCACTCCCCCTCTCACTGGATTGCATCCCCAGACTGGACAAAACTGGCCAAACAGCCCCAACAAACCCCTTGTTTGTTTGCCAACTTGCGTGCTTTGGGTGCCAAACCGCCTGGTGTCCTGAAATGCGCAGAGGGTATGCAAAACCAGGTACCCCCCCGAATGAATGATTCCTTATTAAGCCCTTGTTGAGCCCTTAAGCCGTTATTTGCTCAACAAAAAAACCGGTGGAAAAGCGGTGCGTTGTCCGAAGCAAGTTCTTTGAGGCAGTCGAATGTGGGAAGTTGTTTGAGGCACGCAACCACAACCTTGCACTCTTATGACGTCTGACGAGGTGAGCTCTGAGGAAGTTTGGTTGGCAAGTAGTTTGAGGAAAACCAACCCAGAGCTAAAGCCTTATTTTTTCAGGGGGGACGTCTTGGGGGGGGGGACGCTGGCTAGGTCCCCCAGTAGTGCCCTTTTACCCTGTTTTTTGGGGAGAGTTCCCCTACTAAAATAGATTACAGAAAAAAGGGTGCCCTTATTCTAACCTCTCAACTGGAGGACCTAGGACATGTCTTTTGGGCCCAATCCACGTGAGTTATCTATGCTCCGCGAAGACGCGGGGACGTGGATTGGCGCGGAGTTTCGTTGTTTCTTTTCATGTGCCGAGGCCTCCGGCGGCGCGGCTTTTTTTTGTTTTTACGAGTGAACTGATGTTCATGAGTGGCCCGGTTGCCCCGGCATCAAGTGCCAAAAAAAACCGAAGAGGTTCCCAATTGTTTGCATCAAGCAAAAAACGAAGAGGGTCCCAATTGTTTGATGGGTTGCCTGGCTGCCGTTAGAATCAAGTGCGAAAAAAGAGAAGGAGAGATGTTTGTTTTGTCATGGTTTCCCATGGGCACTGGAGCTTCGGGTTGCCCTGACTTTACACAGCCATGTGCTTAGGTGCTTTGTTGCGTGTGGGATGCAGTAGGCCCGTCTTGGGGGGGGGCAAGAAAGGTGTTTCTCAGAAGAAACCTGCGGGATGGAGGTTGAGGGTTAGACCTCTTGCTCAGAAAACTTGGAGCAACCCGTTGCAACGAGGCAAGGAGTAGGCTAGGCCGCATCCGTTCGTTGGGCTCGATCTTTCTGGAGTTGGAAACCAGGACTGGCGGGTGAACACGCGCCTGGTCAGCAGTTGTTTGTGGGGTTGCTGCGAGTTGCGCATGCTGGGTGGCGTTACAGGAAGTTCCACATTGTCCTGCGTCCAGCCAAAGCCCAAAGAGTTCCTGTCGAATTCCTTCTTTTGTTTTGTGTTTTTGAGGACATACTCTTTTGGGCGCCCGAACACGGTATGTTTTCTTTTACTTTCCCTTAAAATTACCACCCAAAAAGCGGGGCATCTCCCAAAAGAGTAACAAAGTCGTGTGGACCGGCTTCGATTTGCTTATTTTAATTTTTGTTTCTTGCCCTGTTGGTTTTAAAGGGAATCTATCACTATTGCACATATATTCCATTTTTTCCAGGGGGCAAAAACGCAAATTGAGTTTTACACCAAGTCTGGAAATTTAAAGCCACAAAAAAAATAAAGGGTTTTTCCCAATCCATGGCAAAGCCTTTTGGACTGGTCTGACTCGGGAACGCCATTCAAGGAAGCCCCGGCTGATCCTGCTGGCCGACTCTCCCGCGCCCGAAGCCGAAGCGCGGCCGGACGTGGTGCACCTCCCGAGCCTCGCGGAGCATCTGACCCGCTGAGAGTTGATGCGATGGGAATGGAGAGGCAGCGCAAGTGAGCCACAATCAACACCCGGGTAGATGAAGGTTAGCAATCCAGCTGCGGCCGATTTCTTAATGAATTTACATGGTTCTGGGTAGACCGTTTAATACCGGGTATTGATTGTGACTCAAGTGGTCTCCACTGGAGGACCTAGCATGTTTTTCTCAGTCTCCGTTCAGTGGGTTATTTCACCAGGCTCACTAACCACTTACCTGAGGTTTCGAATCGATCGCCCCTTCAAGTAGGAACGGAGGGGTCCGCCCATGTAGCTCTCCCATTGTTTGTTTGCGTGGGAGATGATCTGTGAGGGTATCGTAGCTTAACATACGCTCAGCTCTTGTGTTTGTTTTGCAGGGAGCGGATCTATTAAGAAGTATCTTGGGAGATATCTCCCATGTTTATCCGTTAGCGCCTGGGACATGATCCAAAAAAGGTGTATTTCAGATGAGTAAGTTTCAGTACCCTCCTGTCCATTAATTACCATGGAACCCACCAGAACCATGCTCAAGGAACATGGTGAAAACCAGGAGCCCAAAACGCCAGGTTCCGCACTTTTACAGAACCGAATTCAGGCTGGCCGTGGCATGAGTTCTCGGCCAGAGAGGTTTTCACCTGGACCTGGCGCGGGCGGCTCCTTGACGCTCGGGAAAAAATGCCGTGCGTGTGTGCGTGCGTGCGTGCGTGCTTGCGTGTCTGTGTGTTTGTGTGTCTGTGTGTCTGTGTTTCTGTGTGTCTGTGTGTCTGTGTGTCTGTGTGTCTGTGTGTGTGTGTTTGCGTGAGTGTGAGTGTGTGAGTGTGTGTGTGTGTGTGTGTGTTTTTTTTTGGGCGGTCTTGGTGTTTGTTTTTTCCTAGGGTGGCCACATGTTTTTCCCTGAGCAGTGTGTCCACTGAGGGGTTCTTACGGTAAGAGGAAACGCCCGGTGCTAGATCGAGGTGCCCGGCCGCGAGCATTTTGCATGGCATTTGCCGCAAAATCGTGACGTTTCGACTTCGCAGGCTCGCACAAAATGAGGCCCCCGATCGCTGTTTGAGACCATGAAAAGGGGGAGGTCCGTCTTTGGGTGCCCTTAAAGAGGCTGAAGCACATTGCTTCCGTACTTGAATGCCTGCCAAAAGGTTCGGCTATGCAGACCCGTTGGTGGACATCATTTAGGATAGGGGCTCACGTCCACCAACCACTTGTGAGGCGGACCTCATTAGAACTCACAGTCATTTTTAGGAAAGTCACAAAGAAGGACTAGACATGGAGCAGCTAACTGCCCCTAACACCCCATTCTAGAATGATTGATTTTGAGACTAGCAGTTTATTCTGTGCTGCTGTCTCCGCGTAGTTGATTTAATCTTGTGAGAGGAAAGGGGGGCTACACTTGCTGTTCTAATGCTTTCTTGTCCAACAACCTCCACGAACGCAAATCCATATGAATTTGCTAGTTGTTTGCCTTCATCATATGATGCAGTTCTTTGATTCTCCAAGTCTATTGATACTTTTTGAGGCCCAACGCCGCCATCACACAATTCCATTAAAAGGCGGATTGATGAACCTTTCGTGAGGCCCCAACTCATCAATATTTCAGAGCCACACCAGAATCTTGAACCAGTTTCAGTCCTGACTCCCATGAATTCCACCAAAGGTCTTCCAACGCGCCTTGGATCAACCCACTGAAGGACGAAATCCTGCACCGCTGTTTGGTGCATTCTAGCGAATTATGTTCGGCCCATGTGCAGGTTGTGCTGCTTTTGCATTTTGGCTTTGCAAAGCGCAGGTAGGGTATTCTCCTTGAAAAACAGATGCCGAGTAGAATTGAATAGGCCACGCCCACCAGCAAAGATGATTAACATGTTGAAGCCAAACGCACGGATCAAATGTAGCTTGAGATTTTTGGCCTGCTACGAAGCAATCCCTTGTGGATTCTTCTGATGTGATCCCTTCTGGGTCATTCTCCAAACCCCCATTTTCGAACTCCACATTGTCGATCTTGAATGGTTCACTTGGGGGAACACCACCCTGGATGTCCCCTTTGAGGATTCACTTCGTCACTTCAGTTGGGAACACCCCCCCCCCTTCGCGATAGCCCGGGTTTCACCCAAATCGAAGACAACTACTATTCGGTTAAGAATATTTGTTATTTTCCCTTGTTGTTTTTACAGTTGGAATCGATTTAGCTACTGGTCAAATATGTGTTTTGTTTTTACAGGGGAACACCACCCTGGCTGTCCTCTATTGGGAACGCCCCCCGCCCCCCCTTCGTGAACCAGGGGGCAAAAACGCAAATGGAAGACTACGAACTCCGAAGGCCTCGATGCAGCCGCCCTACAGCGTCTTCGACTACTACTGGGATATCGGCTGTTGCCAGGCACGAGCTGCGAAGAGACTTGAAAGCCGGGGGTGCAACAAGTCTCACTCGGAAATGTTAGACTTTCCGGAACTTCTCGTGGGGCAAGGAAAACCGTTGGCAACTTGAGTTGCAAGTTTTTCTTTTTTTTCTTCTTCTTTTTTTGTCCCGAAAGCATGGCGAAGGGTTCAGGGTTCACTTGAGTTGTTCTCATGAGAGTCATTACACGGTGTCATTGCAAGGAATCATCATCATGAAAGTCATTGCAAGGAGGCATTGCAAGAAGAGGTTCTAACTCCTCGCAAGTCAATTGCACTTGACTCCTTGCACTTGACTCCTTGCACTTGCAACTTGCACTTGACTCCTTGCACTTGCAACTTGCACTTGACTCCGTGCACTTGCAACTTGCACTTTGCTCCATGCACTTGCAACTTGCACTTGGCTCCTTGCACTTGCAACTCGCACTTAACTCCGTGCACTTGCAACTCGCACTTGACTCCATGCACTTGGCTCCTTGCAACTTGCAATGACTCTCATGACTCCTTGCAATGACTCCTTGCAATGACTCCTTGGGCGGCGGGGTAGTGCCAACGACACTACACGAACACCGGCCCTCTGCGGGGATTGGCGTGGTCGAGGTGCAATAACTCAAGGTGTTTTGCGATTTTGTTTTGGCTCGCGCGACCCTCTGTGGGGATCGGCGTGGTCGAGGTGCAAAAACATGTTTTGTTTTTTCTTGGCGATTTTGTCTGGGCCCGCGCGACCCTCTGCGGGACGTGGTCGAGGTGCAAAAACTCGAGGTCTTTTGCAATTTTGTTTGGGCCCGCGCGACCCTCTGCGGGGATCGGCGTGGCCGAGGTGCAAAAACTGGAGGTGTTTTACGATTTCTGCGGTGCTCGCACGACCCTTTGCGGGGATCGGCGTGGTCGAGGTACAAAAACTCGAGGTTTCTTACTATTTCTGCGGTGCTCGCGCGGCCCTCTGCTTTTTTTCTTTCGAATTGTGTTGTTCGAGCTGGTCCTCGCGAGTTGTCTCGTGGTTCGCGCGCCTGCTCCCGGGACCGGCGGGTCACGGGTTCGACCGCGGTGCTTCGCAAGCTGCACGGAGCAACTTGCATAAAGCAACTTGCGCAGAGCAAGTTGCACAGACCATTTTGCGCAGAGCAACTTGCGCAGACCAGTTTGCGCAGAGCGCCTTGCCTAGAGCAACTTGCGCAGAGCAACTTAGGCAGAGCAACTTGCACAGAGCAACTTGCGCAGAGCAGCTTGCACAGAGCAACTTGCAGGGAGCAACTTGCGCAGAGCAACTTGCGCAGAGCAACTTGCAGAGCAACTTGCAGGGAGCAACTTGCGCAGAGCAGCTTGCACAGGGCAACTTGCACAGAGCAACTTGCGCAGAGCAACTTGCGCGCAGCAACTTGCGCAGAGCAACTTGCACAGAACAACTTGCACAGAGCAACTTGTACAGAGACATTTGCACAGAGTCAGTTGCACAGAGCTTCTTGCACAGAGCAACTTGCAGGGAGCAACTTGCGCAGAGCAACTTGCACAGGGCAACTTGCACAGAGCAGCTTGCACAGAGCAGTTTGCGCAGAGCAACTTTGACAGAGCAACTTGCGCAGAGCAACTTGCGTAGAGCAACTTGCGCAGAACAACTTGCACAGAGCAACTTGTACAGAGACATTTGCACAGAGTCAGTTGCACAGAGCTTCTTGCACAGAGCAGCTTGCACAGAACAACTTGCACAGAGCAACTTGTACAGAGACATTTGCGCAGAGTCAGTTGCACAGAGCTTCTTGCACAGAGCAACCAGAGCAACTTGCGTGCACAGAGCAACTTGCAGGGAGCAACTTGCACGGAGCAACTTGCACGGACCAACTTGCACGGAGCAACTTGCGCGGAGCAACTTGCGCAGAGCAACTTGCGCAGACCAACTTGCACCGACCAGTTTGCGCAGAGCACCTTGCCCAGAGCAACTTGTGCAGAGCAACTTGCGCAGAGCAGCTTGCACAGAGCAACTTTAATCGTTTAGGGGAAACATTCATATTTGGTAGATCAGTCATGTTGAGACATTTGCCTCTGTGCTAATATGATCTTACATGTTGAGGTTCGCTACAAGTATGGACCGGAATCAAACTACAACTCTTTTAAGTTCGTGCTCTTCAAGCGATCTTGCCTCCAAAGACTTTTGGTCGAGGCTGCAGGCTTCTTCCTTTGGACTGCTTGGCTGGAAGGCTGGAAGGTCTTGATGTCCAGGGTTGCCTTCGCAAGTGAGGCCTGGAAAAAAAGAAATCGGAGGTCAATGGGGGGGAACCTGACAGCTGGTTTTTTTGCGAACCCCACGTGAATTGGTTGGCTGAGGGCTGGTTTAGGATTGGTTTAGGGCTGGTTTAGGGTTGGTTTCGGGTTGCGGAACATTTGAGTCTCTTGGTATCACTTTCCGTGATCGCAAGGGATTCCAGGCGCAAAACAGTCGAAAGGATGACCCACTTGGGTGGCACATCCAAGGTTCCGTCGGAATCTCTCCTCAGGCAACCCTTCGTTGGAATGGCAGTTTGGATTTGAACCCCTGGCTTGTAGTAAATGGGGCGGCCCCTTCCATTTCACCAAGGGCTCCAAACTTCCAATCAGAGGCAAGCGCATGTT